CCTTCCATCCGAGTCCACCACGCTGGCCACGCCGCGCATTATAAACAGCATCTCACTCGTGTCCTTCTCTGGTTGACTGCCTTCCTTTCCCGCATGCCATTGGATCGCAGAGAGACACGGGATTGGCTGAGGCCAGGTGGTCCAACATGTCTGCGCCCAGATCCGACGCCACACCACACCACATTGTACCGAAGGTGAAAGGATGATTGACGGTGATGTCCCTGGCACCGCAGTTAGCGTTGCTGAGCCGGAGCAAGTGGTTGATGAAAAAAATGAAGAAGAAAGCGGTCAAGATTCTTTTGAGCTTGACGAAATTGAACTGTCTGATAGGGAGTCTGAGGATATCGACGTGAACCACAGAAGAATAAAGCGAATTTCTAAGTTGGAAACCATACCCAATGTATGAGAGCTAGCATATATTTTACCTAAACTTTAGGCAAAGGCTTTATGTTTGCGAAATAACCTCATTAAGTTAATTGAGAATCTGGATCCACTTGCCGATAAGTTAGTGGATTTGGACCTCTATGATAATCAAATTACGAAGGTGAGCCATATACCTTGCACATGTCATTCAAGTAAACTGTAAGATTGCACGTCTGCATGACTTACGTCATCACATAAGCCATTTACCCATTATTTTTGTTTATTTTTCTTATCTCTTGCAGATACAAAATCTTGAAGTCCTTAGAGTGCTTCAGGTGTTAGACTTAAGCTATAACCGCATCAAGACTATAGAAAACCTGGGTGCTCTTAAAAGTCTTACCAAATTGTATCTTGTTAATAACAAGATTTCGAAAATCGAAAATTTATCGGGCCTCCCAAATCTGACGATGCTTGAACTTGGTGCGAATAAAATTCGGAAATTGGAGAATCTCGACTCATTTCCAAACCTCGAAGAACTGTTTGTCGGTAACAATAAAATTTCAAAGCTGGAGGGGCTTGAAAATTTGCCAAAATTGAAAATTCTTAGTATCCAGGTAAACATGTCTTTTCTTCTTTTCGTCTTTATACCATTAAGAGCATATCCAGAGATTTTCGCTAATATTTGCCGTTCCGTTATGTTCTTTACTGTAGCGGATACTGGCTTTGTCCATAGCAATTGTACATTCTTGAAACTTTTCATCTCAAATGTTATTGAATTCATATTATCGCTAAGGTAAAAGTGGCGTTTAACGCCATTGTGCCTGTTTGGTTTAGTCAGGCGTGTTCAAATGTCAAAGGTCACCTTTGCCAAAAGCAGCTACTTATAGCAGTGAGATAGTCCAACCAAGTCAGCGACAAGGGTGCAAGGTAATACATGGGACTGGCTTTTACCGTTAAAGCCATAATTTTGAGAATTTAAGCCTTCTAAAATGCCTATGTGTTTTGCTACCTCGCCCCCAAACAAAGCAGCTCTATGTCCACCGTTTACTGAAGTGGCTTTTTGCCATTCACGTGAAATAAACATATTTACATAATGCGAAAAAGCTCGGTTTGGTGTCACAATATTTTCATACCAAGGATCAAAGCACCTATTCTCTGTTGCCAATTGTTGAGGACCTAAAATCAGGCTTCTTTGATAAATTGTCTTTGTTTTTCATCACAATAATTCCCAGCTCTTTTGGTTGATTCGTCCCATGTTCCATAATTTCTAAAAATCATACAGGGTTAAGGCTTTGTGTCTGGTCACTCAGACACCTTTGGTTCCCAAAGTTACCCTGTATCATTGCCAGGGAACCAATGTGCGCATTTCCCCTGGTAGTGTACTTAACACCAAATGAAATTAACCTGACATCAATTCGACACATAGATCATGAGCGAAGCCGCTGATTTATATGTTTTAACCCAGTTAATAACCAAGAATACTTGTTTTTCGATGACTAGTGAGAATTGGAAAAGGTCATGGTAATGTTATTGTCGAACAGAACTGCATAATGCTTCCATGGGGTTTGTGAACTTGCTGATGCTGGGTCATTGTTCATGCCAAGCATTTTTATTAAAATTGATCTTGCTTTTTGTGGTTTAGAATAACCGAATAACAAAACTTGAAGGACTCCAAAACTTGGTGAATTTGGAGGAACTCTACATAAGCTTCAACGGTATCAGCAAGATCGAAGGCTTGGACAACCTTGTTAATCTTCAGACGCTCGAGCTTGCTCGAAACAGAATAAGTCGAATCGAAAACATATCCCATCTGTCGAAATTGGAGGAGTTTTGGTTTAATGATAACCTCGTTGCCGAGTGGGACCAATTGAACATCCTAGTGCCGATGAAACATCTTAAGACTCTCTATCTCGAACGGAATCCGATCTATTACGCACCCGGTTCGAAGACAAAAGATACTGCATATCGCCGGAAAATCCTCCTTCTTCTTCCATGGTTGAGACAGCTTGACGCGACGCTGACAGGTGTTGGCTTAAGAACCTAGGACCAGTACGCATTTGCTTTAAATTATTACCTTAACACTCGGATCGGTTAGGGCTATTGTCAAAAGTTCCAACAAGTAACAGTTCTTTTCTGTATGCTCTAAAGTGAAGGTAACTGTTGCAAATTGAGTGATTTTAAGTGATTAATTCGATTTTCTCATGTAGTCTTGTTGCCGAAAGCTTAGTAAGTGTGGTATTTGACACGGCTGCTTCGACAAGTAGATAGTGAGAGATATGCAGGATTTCACTGCGCAAAGGTGCTTCATACAAACAGAGCAATTAACACACATGCACTACTTTTTATTGCCATTTAGTTTTAAAGATGAATATCTTATTGTCAGACGACGTTTTATCGAATGTCGCAGTCCTCGCCAAAGCACCCAGATAAAAAAACTTGATAAACGTCATCACATGGGTGTTCTGAGTGCGGAGTTGAAAAATCCGTTTCTCCATTTTGCAGAAAGTTAAGTTTCTCTTGTTGATTCCTTGAATTTTCATGGCGCCACTTTGTGAGCTTGCGTAGAGAAACAAAAAGCCGCTGTGGGGAGACCCCACTCAACTCGAGATTTGGTCTTCGCAAGGTGCAGGTAGGTGTTATCGTTACTAATCGATGGGATGGGAAAGGCTCCAGGCTGGCACCGGTAACGATAATTTCTGCTACGGCCTGCTGTTGTTTGTTTCTCGAGGTGAAAATCTTCAAGCAACGTGAAGGGTTAATTAGTTGTCAGATATAAAATATGGTTAAAATATTACCGCAGCAGAATATGCTAATGAGGCGTACGAAATTCCTAGGAGTAATTGCCTCACAAATGACCAAATTACTCCGGAGTCTGGTTCACACATGCATGGGGTGCAGGACCCCGTGGTAAATCTTGTGCAAATTTTGGTATATGATATCGGATATATTGGATTCTGTCGTGCTGAGAAATTAGGATACCAAATATTGGCAGCTCCACACATATTTTTCGTGGTCGATTGGTGAGCAATAAGTACAACAAAGTGGACGTTGTCCAGTTTTTTCGACATAATTTATTACTACTACATCTGGATAAGGTTAAATACGCTTTTTACGTGTTACTTTAGAGCTTGTGCAGTTCAGATATAAATCTTGCATGATTGAGAATGACTAGGCTGTAAATTTTCATCCTGACAAGTGACCCAAGCGCAAGGATGGTAATAATGAACAAACCCAATTATCGGATCATTTACCGATAACCCTGAGGTCATGTGAGTGCTTTGGAAAGCGTTCAGAAGGCATCTAGCGAGGAGAGACTGAGTTTCTGAGCTGAGAGGGAGCATCACACTCTTCGAGACGTTAAAGTGCTCAGCGGCAGCAGAATTGGATGCTGGATAATGATTCCAGGCGTGAACTAGATCGGCCAGCTCGCATGCCAGTGGCTGCAATGTCTTAGATGCACCTAAAAGCATTGACGTGAAATCAGTTCACTTAAACTAGTCTTCGAAAATATTCTGCTATAACCTGGCAGAAAACCTAGGATTGGGGAGAAAATATGTCAATTTCGGCAGGATGCATAATCGAAAAAAGGTGCGATGTTGAAACAGTTCAGCTACTGTTATTGCAAACACCGTGGAATTTTCAAGTGTTTTGTACGCAGAAGAAACAAGTAATTCTTCCAAGCTGCCATTTGCGAAGAGCCAGTGTGACTATTTTCTGAATCGCCAAGTAATAACGTAAACACCACCTCTACTGTATCCTGGATTTAGCAAACTTGGAGAATTACCGCGGTAGTTGAAGAATGTGTTCAAGGCGATTGCACATATCGTTCTTTTGTGGAATTCCTTAATGGCCTTGAATAGTGACTAAAACGGAGAATAAAAATTGCAATACATAAGCAACAAAATGACTGCTTGTACGTGATTTTTCTTCGTTACTTGGTACTCCGGAGCCAGCCTTGAAACAGTCTCCCGAAGGGTTTTCAACTTCTTGCTGTACCAGCTGATTAGCGCGGTCGGAACAACTGCAATAATGCAAGTAAACAACTTGTGACGTACAAACTGGATGTGGAATAGCATCAGTGTGTATGGTGTTGTACGAGGGCATTTCTCTTAGGCGCACATGAATTCCGACTCCGCGAACCCTATCAAATCAGAATTTCAGATGCTGGCTTTCAGCATTGAGTTGCTCAGATCGGATAGGGATTGCAGGGGGATTTCGCTACTATTTAGTGCGCTCGTTGCATGTATGTCGAAGGTTCCATGATAAATTATGTTCGTATTCGTGGAAATAGGGTGGAGAAAGGTCTAAATTTCTTCGTACTCACTTCCCTGCAAGTCTGAGACTTGCAGGCTGAGCCGGAAAACCAATGCAACCGTCCAGATACTAAATCGTATTTCTGAATCACTAATGTTGCCAATACACGTAAAAACGTTTTCGAGTTAACGAACCAAAGCGATGAAGCAAAGAAAGCTGATACGCAAGAACATAGGGGGAAATCCACTCAGCGATCGAAGATAGCGATGCGCTGTTCAGTTCATCAAGAGTGGATTGACACAGGGGGCAGTGCTCGAGCGCAGTTTCGGCTGTAGAGAAAAACGATACATCTTGTTACACCTATCAGTTACGAAGTTAGGAGTATGAGGGTCATTGGAAAAGATTGGAAGATATATTGATGTGCTAATTTGTTCCCCGAACTACTGAGTTACCTAATTGGGGTAGTAACCCAAGGAATGGGCGCCAAGTTTACAATAGTGAAAGCGCCGACACTGCACAAACATTGAGGTTGACAACAGAAGTAAGCACAGCTAAAATGCGGACAATACCTGAGTGCTCTAAAGTTTTGTCCTCCAATGCGTCGAAGAAATTATCAAATCCATCAACTGTAGGTTCTTCGGCCGTTTGTTGAGTGCCTGATTGAATAGAAATGTTGCACCATCGTTATTCGAATCCCTTTATGACTAAAGTGCCACTTGTAAAAGGAGGTATTTTCATTAACAGAAAACATAATTTCAACAACACATTTGATCTGAAAACGACTAGAACTATGCAATATAAATATATGAAACTTAACAATTATAAAAGTAACACCATGTAATATTTGATGCAAATTTTCCGATCTGAACTAAAATGGAATATCATGAACAAATAGGGCCATAGCACCCCTGCTTATCTAACATGACCTGAATGTTCGGCGCAAAGCCACATCAGCCAGGAGAAACGTGCGTTCTGACACGTCGTCTTTTGTGACCGCACATATATTTGGCCACTTTTTCATAAACACATGTCATAGTGTATCTTGGTGACCACTTCAAAAAGTGACTAGCTTGTGCACACGTAGGAAAAGACAAACTTGGGTGCTGGGAGAGAGTAAGCAGTGCATGTTCAAGCGGAGTTGAGGGAGCATAATCGCGACCCGCATTGAGAGCAATTAAAGGCTCAGTTCCATAGCCAAGTCGGAGGATGTTGACAAAGTTGCACCAGGCAAGACGAAGGGCCAACACCGAATTCGTTGAACCCATGCGAAGAACAAGCCAATGAAGAAAGATCACCAAACGAAGTGCCCCACCGCCGATGTAGCGACAATCAACCAAACTTGCCAGGTGCTGTAAACATTACAATAGGGAGGAACATAAAAGTGGATAGGTTCCAATTCTATTCCATTCATTAAAATTACATGAGTCCCAAAAGACCATTCATCCAGATGAGCACCCTCAAGCAAAAATTGCCCATGGGGCTTACATTAGGAAAACTTAACGGTTTTATGCATTAGTTCCACCGAAATGTGCTCGTACCATGAGTTAATAAGGTTTAGAGAAGTAAATACAAGGCATCAAAAGCACGCACTATCTGCTTATCGCGCGTATTTCGAATAATAGAGATTAATGGAACCCTGAACAAAGTCCAATTGTACATCGGCAATAAAATAGCATGTACACAAAAGAAAAAATCTTTCTTTAGTTTGCCATAGAAACGGTCACCAGAAAAGTTTTAGATACCAAAATATTCGACGGCAGATAGGAAAGAAAACGACAGAAACGTAATTAGAAAATACATGATCCAAGGCTTCTGCAGATGGAAGGTCGGGTGATAGGTACGTCAAGGGCACGTCAGGAAGCTCGTAGGTTTCTTGAAAAAGTGCCTGAAACTACCAAAATAATCGAAATCGAATGCGGATTGCTGAACATTACCATAAGTGCCCAAAATAGAAACTCACATTCGCCTGACAGTTAAGATTTTGCTGCAGACTACAATCTGTGCACGACGTTCGATTAGCTTAAAGTAAATAATAAGGTATAAGGAGTACAAAGTTAAAGCAACACATGCAGGTTACGTGATGGCACGAGATAAATAGGCTGCAATGCTAGCATAGAAACATTTGATAAATACTATTATAGATAATAAATTGACTCATGAACAAATTCCTCATAAAACTAGACGGAATCACCATTGTTATACGTCAACGTCTACCATTCTACACCTTGAAATTTGATGCAGCAGCAAAATTATTTCCAATGGGAAGTAAAGTTGACAACATTCCACTAAGTGATGAAGCGTAGACAAGTTAAAAAACAGCAAAATTAAATAAAACTGCACTTACCTGAATTTAAGGCTTGGTCAATAGAGCTAGCAACGTCATCTGAGAAAAGACATGAAACCGAGTGATGGACCAACATGTGAACGAAAATAAGACCGTTTAAATGAGAAAGAAACGATATGAGTCGGAAAAACCCAACTCCGTTACGAATCAGTTTAACTCAAAAGTTTTTTGTAGCTGAATGGCGAGTAGGATTGAAAGTGAAATATGCATTAGTAATTGATTTCAAGGAAATCTGGCAGATTATGTCACACAATGAGGGTGGACATTGTCGTCTATGTTAAAACTACCAAAATAGTAGTGGAATATTATGTCGACACGGAGTCAACTTGCATTAACTTGTCGCGGTTTAGCAGAGTCACCAATTTTATGCACACATAATAAGAAGTTGAAGAAAGCATAAACTTTCTGGCAGTTTAAGTGAGGGTGTGCCATGTGCCGTAGTGACTAGAAAGTGGTTATTCGAAAAAAAAAGAATAGCCTACCGATTAGACAATGTTCGGCCTCAGCAATTACACAGTCTGCGAACCATTGACTTGAGGAAGGCTTTAACAGACTAAAAGAGTCGAATTGAACACTAAAACATTAGCCCCTGGGGCAATCGCCTTTACCCGGCAGATGGATAAAATGCCTACAAAAATGATGGATTAACACAAGCGATGAGCTATGTGGATAGTCTATGACCATACACGGTAGGATCCGGAACTCAAAGAAAATCTAAACTGTAGAATCCGTACGGCAAATTACATTGTGTTTTGGCCGAATAGAAGTAAAAAAACTGAATATTAGCCAAACTGGCAACAAATTCCTTCATTTCGGCTAAAACAATATTTTTAACCTGTCCAGACTGAATGGAGTAAAACTTTGGGAAGTTAATACTAGATAAAGGCGATACAATACTTTCGACGCAGAACAGAGGTGATGTATAAACACGTAGAAAATATGGGCGTTTTCATACAGATCTAAATTACTGTATTATTGATTGACCAAATAGACACGGTTTAGATCAAAACGCAAGCAACGGTTATGCTTTACGCCAATCATTTGTTCAAAGTAAAAAGTTATTTAAATGCTGAGTTTTCACGTCTATATCGTTGCATTCTTATTGACATGAGGAACCAACGACAACAAGAGTTGGACATACTCGATTGAAAATTGGTTAAAATGACGCGTTAGTGAAATTAAAGATAAATTAGTAGTACGAGGAAACGTGACTCATGCCTGAATTGACCTACTGAGGGCAAACAAAATAAGTCACTAATAGGATGTGGGGAGGTCGCTTACACCTCCATCCGATACACTCTCGCTTGAAAAAGAGGAGAGAAAATCATAGAGGGACTGCAGAACTGTCTTAGCACCACCGGCTACACATGGTGCCAGAAACTTTTGAAGTCTATTCAACCTTTAGCCAGAGTTGAGTTCTGGAGAATACATATTAAATTAGGAGTTGGTCCTTACTACTTATAATTACAGCCAAAACAGTAATCATGCCTTATAAAAAGACGATATGAAGCGCATTTTGGTAACTTCAAATCATTCTTCTTTCAATGTAACCATTTGCAACCACCTTGGTACACAACTAAGTCAACCAGATACGCGGTCAAATAGCAAGAACGTTTGGTATAGAAAACTTGCCGGAGTTCAGAATCCTCGCAGATTGCGTTCAGATCCAGATAGGTGGACATGGACACCATGTTTACCTCTCTAAAACCAGACGTAACATACCTTTAAATAAAGTAATCGAAAAAAACCCACCTTTATTCAGGGGCAAACTCAACACCAGAGCACACTACGCGAGGAGGTCATGGGAAAATATGAAATGCTGAAATTTCAATGATCAGTGACATTTTGATACAATGCGTGGAAAGATCATGACGGAGGAAATCGAGCACACCTATACTTTATCACAGCTAGTAGGCGGCGATTAATTCTCAAACATCTGAATGAATTTATAAGGAATATTGGATTCGACCATCGATTTCGCTGAAGTAAACAATTATCGTTAGATTACTGATTAGATTCACCCCCTTCTATGGTAGTCAATCAAGTGGAAGAAAGTTAACAATCTACCCCTATCTGCAGCTCAGGTTGACCACAAACACAGACGAGGTTATAATACGAAAAGGAGTGACGACGTCACCATGAAGGACATTGACTCCATGAGTATGCCTAGGTGTCAGTAGCAAAAGTATGATATACTCCAGTATGTGATTTGGATTTGTAGTTCTTGACCAGCGCTAGTTCATTTTCAAAGGAGAGGAGTACTTTCGCTTCCAGCATGTCTTACACCTGCAGTAGTGAGTTAAGGAATTTGCACTGGCATGAGGTTAAGTTAAAAAAACATCAACTTTTCTTCAGAGTCAACTTGCATATGCATCGAGACGGCGGTGAAGATGGACTCTGGTGAAAGCGCAAATGTCGCAGTAGTGTCTAAAACGTAGGTTTAAGAAAGACGCTGCCTATCTGCAAGATGGCCTTTGTGAACAAAAGATGTACAATGCTTGTTGAGCCCAGGTACAGCTCTTTCTGCTCAGGAATTGAGCTACCGCTTTAGGGGAGCCATTGTAAATAAGGATTTGGAAAATGGACAGCTGGCCAAAACCCACAACACAAAATCAGAAAGCCAACGATGGTGATATGAATAGTAGAATAACTAAGACCATTTTTTAAGCAAAATTCAAAAAAATCTTACCAAAATACGATTCTGCTTGAGGAATGAAATGAACTTTCATTATTCGATAATACTGGAGTACGGATACATCCAGGGCTTTGTCACATTGTCCCTAAGAACAATAATGGAAGTTCGTCCTTTTACCCTAAGTTAGCATCGCAGACGACCGCGGAAAAATTTAATGTTGGGGTGACCTATGCACTGTAAGATTGCTTTGGCATCAAATTGGTTGCATCGCGTTGTGACAGCCAACAAATGGGTCAGGTGGTTCCCTTTTGAGGAAGCAGACCACATGTCTTACGATAATCATTCCATCGTGTATGGTTAATCAACCAGAACAAATTAATCAGGAATCTTAGAACAAAGGCAAAGGATTCTTTGACCGATCTTGATAATTACATATTTGAGACCCTAATGTTAATACCCTAGATCTTCGAGGTAGAAGCAGTGACTTCGAGAAAAACAGATGAATACCTTCAGAAACTATTTAGCTACTCTATAAAGCCTGTAAAATCGCATTGTGCAGTCGTTACAATCAGAATGGGGATTCGGTCACACGACATAAAGGTGACTACGAAAACTTATGCTTGCATTCGATAATTAATACTAATGGTGATATTCAACCAAAATAATCGTTTATCAAATCATAACCTCGGAAAGGAAGGTAAACAATCCACGAATAGGAGACGTCAGATAACAGACACAAAAAACAGAGCCGCTGCATTTTGTGAAATAAGTTAATTGAGATGAATTTTGCGATACCGCAGCGTGCTATTATCAAGTTAGCTAATGCTAAGTACGGCGACGTACCAGAATTCATTACTTAGTGAAAAAATCAAGTTATATAAACCAATTCGTTATGCCTACCAATAAATCTAAATTTCTTGTTAAAGAACGTCAAGTATGAAGAAAACGTAAGAAGTGATTGTTAAATGTGATCTTAGACAATAATCAACTAGAAACCTATTTAAGAAGATCAATATTTGTCATGTAGCGACATTTTGATGTGACGCACTACTGACAAATATACTTATTTTTGTAATAATGACTGATACAAATTCTTTTGTCCCTTTTCGATTACATATCAACAGGTTATATTTGGTAACAGAGAACGGTTAAATGCTTTAGAGGGATGATTCTACCTTCAAAACCGAAAATAATACTCAGCAAACTTTCCTCTTAAAATGCCAAGGTAATTTGATCCCTTAAAATATGAATTTCGCGTCAGGACCTGAGGACACAAAGTACCCGAAACTTGTGATTTTGGAGTGCATGGTAAATTAGAACTTGGATTCGTTAATCCATGCATGGGAATATTAAACCAAAAAGTTTAATCACGCAGAAAAGAAAGGGAACTGGTTTTGGGAGTTATTATCACAACTTCCACTTGTGGATGTTTTTCGTCCTTGAGCGCAAGTTCGTCAGCACAGCAAGATCTACACACCATTTGGCAAATCACAACTTTTCTTACCTCTTTTTCCTTAAAACAAAGCTTTAAATGGCCAACTCAAGCCTGTTTTCAAGCATATTCTGTTAAGTGTCCTGACAAACTATGGGCAATCCCAACGTTGGACCGTCCTAATTTATTTTTGATCTAAGTGCGTTCAAGCAATTGTAATGAGGCAACCTTGTGGTGAGCTGTCTTCCTTCACATTACTTTTCCCAACGCGTTATTCGTTGCAAAATGTTTAAGTGTCAGAAGTGGTAAGTATAATATTGAGAAATATCTTTCTTAAAAAGTTATTGATAGCGTCAAGCTCCTTTTACAGATCAACCAACGAATCATCATATCATCACACAGATTCCAAACAAAAGCAACGCCATGTAGGATACTAGGATGTGATGACGAATTGTCTCAATCTATGCTAGATGCAAATAACTAGTAGTCACTTTTTCAAGGATTGTCATGATTTCTACATACTACAGAAAAATTTACTTACTTCGTTTCTTAAACTTTACAAGCCCACTCAGCGGAGGGATTTTAGGAAGCTAAGAAGGCATCTTACCTACTTTAACTATATTAGGGAAAACTAGGTCGCAGACGAAAAAAACTCATTTAGGGGAACTATATATGAAATATCTTGGATGTAGGTCATTTTAACAGTTTGTACACATCCCTTTCTACATACGCATAATTTGAGAATCATATTTACCACAATATTTCCAACGTTTCTGCTTTATAACTATTTCAAAGGGGTTTGTTCTAGGTAGGAATTTCAACCAACAGCTAGTAACCTTCGCACGTGTCGTCATTTGCCTTCGATCCAAACGTAAACTAGTTCTATGACAAAACTAGCAAAGTTTACACTTATAATTTGTAACGTACGTATTTGTGGTGTGCAAATTCTTCAGACTTAAGCACACAAAATAACTTTGTGATGTCACCGAAGCAATGAAATGTGATTTTGGTAGACGTATTTTGCTTTTGTGGACAAAAATGTAAGCTTACCACTTTCTCGAGAAACATGCGACAAAGTCTAGCCAGATGAATTTCGCCACAGGGAAGTGAGGTCTGTGACATTGAGTAATTTATTTTTTTTAACCCCGAATCAGACACAAAGACACCCAAAGGCGAAGGGTCAGCCACGAAGTTGTCCCTCAGCAGTTGTAAACCATAGTAAAGTTTGTTTTCTCCGTAGCAAACCAATATTGGCAGTTCACTGGAAGAAAAAGATGCATAAACTTAAATTTTCTATAACGAGGGACTGATAAACCCCTAAATACAACGCTCCATAAAATACGATGACGCCAGCTGCCATCTGTGAATTTTGTTTCAAACACAAATACTGTTGGGTTTGTCAAATAACCTCTGATAGCTTACCCAATCGTCGTTCTGCGCCTTCAAAGGCCCAACAGAGTTAACCTGTCAAGTTAGAGTGGCTTTTGAAAAATCCCTATTACTGAATAGTAGGGAATAGGTCAAGCCAGAGTCTTAAAAGGCACCCTGAGGTTACGAAGCCGACGATTTAGCTTAAGCCTACCGCTCGTTAGGTTAACACTCTATTACAGTGAACTTAGTTCTCCCAGCGATCTTCATGACAGATGGTTTCCCAACGACCACGATACAATTGTAAATAATTTGTACACAAGAGACACGAGCAATTCATTGTTGCGCAACAAAGCATCTGCAGCCACCTCCGACTAGTAATGCCTCGTTACTCACCAAGACGACGCAGCGAGGGCCATTTCGATGGAGCTTAAAAGAAGCCGAATGCGTGTAGTTCCAACCAGCCGTCGAGCACTGGGGTCGGCAGGGGAAATTAGGATAAATTCATTGAGGTCGTAACTAAAAAACTTGATCGATTACGCATCGGTTAATTAAAAAAAATTGTCAATTTTGGGCAATGCCTTACGCTGAAGAAACGAGAATAACTGCCGCTAATTCACCATCAAGCCGCTCTAAGGCAGAGAAAGAGATTAAAAAGACACATTTGTAAGAAAACGACCAAAGATCAGATCTGAGGAAATTGACAACAAGAGTTATTTGAAATCATTAAAGTAACTTAATGAAAGCATGAGATAATAATCAGGTTGTCCAAGTTTTTGTGCTACAACCAAGCGGTCAAAATTAGCTAATGGTATATATTTTGAATTCCTCATTTTTGCATTAATTCCAACCCACGCTGGAGCAATTTTTATCTTAATGATCTTTGTAACTTTCTTTATTGACCATGTAACACAGAAAACTTGTACGAACTCCATCTAAGACACTCTTTTGATGAATTACTGATCAGAATCAACAGAGGAACCTTTTTCAGAGTTCATTAAATTAAGCATGACTATTTTGTACCCAAAATCATTTAGACCAGAGGCTCAATTTGACATGGTGTGAAGTATAGTACAACTAAATCAGCAAATGGTCAGCTTGTAATTAAGCAAGAAGGTGGCAGGTTTTAGCAGATCCACGAAGCAGAATACCGAAGAAGAAAGCCAGAGGGATATAATATTTAAAACGCGGTCTAAAGCAGTACCAACTTAATTCGACAACTTTTCTGCTGTCTCATCCATAAGACTTAATTCACATGTACTTTAACACATACGTTTTATTTACAACCTCTTCAGCCCGGCAGGTAACTCTAAACACTATTTACTACGACACTGAAACCTTAAAACAATCGCAGGTCAGGTTGCAGAGTGCACCATTAGTGAATTAACAGCACAGTGCATCACAATTACTAAGACAGCCTGGATATGAATTATTCTATCAGTACCGCCTTTGGCCATGTCTTTGCATTTACCTTTATGTCAGGGAGAAATCAACCACAGTTTGCGGAAGAAAGTCAAAGCATATAATTACGAGGACACACTACATGTCTAAAACAACTTTACACGTTTACTTGACTTTAGCAACACAAGGCATGTTTATGGGGTGCTGATGGCTCGTAATGCCTGTGATTAAATATAGCTACATTCACAAAGCCCATCAAACCAGAAGTGAATGCATTTTTAGAAGAATGCTTCGGACAACACGAAACTGGTATAAGTCAGGAATATGAAAACAAAGCACTATAAAGTGATGTACCTGCTGATCTCCCTGGAAGAACTACAAAGTGTTCCACTTTAAATTCAAAAGTCTGGAAACTGGCGACTGCAGACCGAAGTAATAAAATGGAATTTGACGGCATCTAAAACAGAAAAAAACTGACAGATCTGCGCTAATAGCAACAACTATCCGACATTGAACTAGCCGGAATCAAACTCTGTTTCGGAATAATTGAGTGTGATAATTAGCAACGATATCGAGGTTTGAATAGTAGGCAAGACAATTGCCTGTATAATATTGAATTTCTTTACGAGGCGCCGGGAATAAAAATGCAATTCTAACATCACCAATCCATTACTATATAAGTCCGTGCGGAAATTGCTGTCCGCGATTTTACTTGAATGCATTCAGAGCACTAAAGATTGATAAAACACGTTTACGTAACATTTAAACATAAATCTAATTCGTTTTATAAAAATTAACGAGCTTTTAATAAAAAACAAAGGTGCCAGCGATTTTTGCAGCAGAAATCATTTTTAACCGTTTTGCATGATGATGAATAGCAATAAAAACTGTATGCAGCACAAAATCCATTCTCGATAGGCGCTAAGTGTCTTGGAAGTGGTGATATGCTGCATAAAGAGAACAGATAATGAAAAGATACGTACATAGGGCCTACTAGTTGATTGCTTCCGCCAATCCATTAGGATAATCTGAAGCTCTGTAATAAACCTTAATTTTAACAAGGAAAAGCAAATAATACAGTTACTTTTCCCAGGGGGTTGCATTTGTATAATCCTCGAAGCGATCCTCAGGCTAAAGAAAAAATGCGTAAAACACAAACCAATCACAAACAAAACCAGTTGGCAAATAAATGACATTAGAAGGCAAAGGGCTAAGTTATCGGACCGAAGAAACACATATTGAGTTTCATCAAAACAAAGTATTTCGGACAAAGTACAAAAAATAACGTACAGTAGGGAATGGGATTCATGAGACCAGACAAATAAATAAACATTAAACCAACGAGTGAACCCAAAGGCCCATATTACAATGCATCCATAAGTATTATTCTACAAACCCAAGCTCCAGTTTCTCGCAGATAAAGGTGGCAATGCATCAACAACAAATTTGACGGTTGAATACATTAAATGTCTAGACGAACACAAATTCGAGGAGGCAAAATCTGGCTTCCTACAGCAGCCATAACCCAACTATCAGAAAATTGTGGTCAATATGTTTTTGTGGCCAAGGACAATACATGGCCTTGGAATATAGCTAATTTGAGCAGATTATGACAGAAGGTAAGGTGATGATGTAACAAATTAAAAAGATCATGGATGGAAAACGCGACTATTCCTAATTAGGATGGATTCAAGATCAAGAAAACGAAAACAATGAAAAATAAAAAAACAAAAGATTCGCATTATTAATTTAAGCCATACAATTGCGAAATTAGATGGCATTTCCAGACGAATTATACAATACCAAGTACGATTACAAAAAGATGAGTTAAAAACAGCCAACTATAAATTGCTGTGCAATGACTCTATGGTCTGCAGCTGCAAAACCTTAAGCAACGATAACACATGAAACGCAGTAGGGGAAAATATATATGATACCGGTAATAGGATTTAACAAAAAACGAAAATGGATTTGTGAAATTTAAATTAAAATAATGGAACCGATTCGATGCTGAACTAGGTCTATGAAGTCCGGTTTGTCATCAAGCGGAAAAAAATATTAACACTTAGAACAGGAATTTTACATATGGTCAAAAAGTTAAACAAGCAAAAACGATCCGCATGATTAATGTTTCAAAGTATACGTAAATATCGCAAAAAAACTAGTACGCATATTACCGTTTTCTCTTTAATTAAACCAATTCTAGACACCTGTTCCGCCATTGGATGATTTCGTACCAATTCGAAAATATAAGTTCTGAAAGGTTGTAGTTGGTTAATGCAAACAAAATTTCAGCTTCATCTAATAAAATTTCTGTAAATAGGTTAAATTACTGCGTTTACATTGGTTATAGTAATGATGTTTTTAAGAAATGTAAGTGCCAGATGCAACGTAGAACTTAACCAGTCCTGTAATTTCTTTAACTTCAATTTTTTTAAATAGGTTCATTTACAAATACATACTTGAATATGCAACGCCAGTCTATCTCAAACCCATTAGCTTGCAATGAGGTTTTACTTTAGCAGCGTACAAAACATGGTATTTTAGTTAAATACTAGCATTCAGGAACACGACCCAATCTGCAAATTTTTTTCTAAATAAACAGCCTTGCGGGTTGCGAATTAAAGTTCTCGACCTACTGGAACCAACACTGAATTCTTAGCTACTAGGATTAACTGGTGAATGTTACCGCAAGTAATATAAAATCTTGATTAAAACACCAGCAAAAAATAGTGTTATTCTGAAGATCTTAGGCAAATTATTAACAAATTGGGGATGTGTCACGATTTCCAAATATTTCATCTGCAAAGCTTTAGGCAGTCCTGCGTTTAATATTTTGATAATGTAGAATTAAGGATGCAACATTCCTCGAATAAGTTAAATTCACGATTGGTGGATTTCGATGAGTAAACAGAAGTATAGCCACAATGGGCATCTCTTTGAATAGATATACTGTTTTATTGATTTGGGTGATGTTAGCTCATATTTTACTTCTCTAGCTCAGCGATGTTCCATCGGATTTCGCCATTTGTTTTTTAATATTTTCTTGGCTACATGTGGCTATGTACAAATCCTTCTCAGGGCAGGTATGGTTGCGGTGATTCCTGAGGGCACTAAACAATCTAGATTATGGTTTTAATTACAACTCAAGATTAATTATACGGTCAACCTCATCATATCACGTTCTAAGATAAATATTGCCTCATCCAAATATCATTTTTTACAACAGTATTTTGAAGGGAGGTACCTGATGTTAAAGAATTCCTTTGCAAGTAATTTTATTGCACACACTGCACCAAATGTACAAATTTTACTAAGAGCTATTTGAAGTCAAATATTTTAAAAGCTGTCTATCTAAATTATATTTGAATAGTGCCTCTAAGATCTGCAACGATACTGAGTGTTCGCAGTGTGGTAAAAAAATGCATTCAACTAGATTTTTTTCCAGCAGATCCTACCAAAAAAATATTTTGGTAGTCATCTGCAACGTAAATGTGTTAAACTTCGAAAGTCAAACCGGTAACTTAAATAGCAAAAAAATACTTTTCAACAGTGCTATATCTTACTGTTTCTTCCCTACAAAGTTCATACCATTCAAAAAGGCAATTACATACACTGGCCTAACTAACTTGTACATCATTCTAAAACTGATATTATTTTAATGCATTGGCTCGAATTTTGTTTATTAGTTCAAAGATTATATTGTATGAATCTCATGTTATTAGAATAATTAAATTACAAAGTTATATTACAAAGGTATATACACATTTCTTTTGTTTAACTACAAGCGTTTTTGGAGACATCATTTTTTACTAAGGCAAGGCTTGATTTAACGAAATTATTTGATGGCACGTAAAAGTATTTTGAATGAGTGTCGCATGTCTTGCTTAATTTGTACATTTTAAGAAAATAACCGCACTGTTAATTTCAACAACCTTAGAACAATAGAACTCCAGAAATGAAGGCAAAAAGAGCTATTATTTAAATATCAGAGTGCATTGTTGCAGTCAAGCACAAATTTTAATGTGTAAAACGGTATTACGGGTCGCATTCAGTTCTTTCATTATGGTGTGATTCTGATTTCTTGAAAGAGTGGGGCTTCATTACCCACTTAAAACTAACAGAGGAGTCATCTGCGCATCTTTCTACGAATGACATATGAAGGCAAGGTAAAAGAAATGAAATTTTAAATAACGTTGTTTTCACCTCTGCAAAAAATGATCTAGTACATTTAATTGAATTTATTTGCGTTCTTCAAAAGACACTGCGTGTGCAGCTAACTGTAGATCTAAATTCCAATTAGCAATAGCTTTTCAATTTTTAAAAAAAATAAAGAAGTTAGACACATTGAGTACCGAAGTGCTTTTTTTTATGTGACTGTTAAGGTCACTCTGTGCCCGCGTAGATCCATGTCTAGATCGTGTGCAAAGGGAACCGTCATAACGGGGTTGCTTGTCAGTATTACCTTTGGGTCCATCATTTTTATACGGAAAGGTATTGCCATTCAACAAGTCAAATTTTAGGAAATATACGACATGCTGTTATTTCCTCCCTGGTGGCTGGTGCTCTTGTCGCCTCATTTACAAAGTTTGGCTACATTCATTCGTAATGCGTTAATAGCGTTCTTTGTCGTCAAAGGAATATAGTGAGTGACGTCTCCCATAGTGATTCATATTGGAAGTACAAAGCGGATTTAGATGAACGACTTAAGGGGAAGAGTAGAATTGGACCCTAGCAAATTACTTGGTGGAGTGAGCTAAATTCTGCTTGTATATCAGGTCTCAAAACATTAAAGGATTTTTTTGTTTGCGAGCTTTTATACCTCTGGCCTAATCTAGTTGAGTGACGTTTTTTCGTTTACCATTTCGTCCCATCCCTATATCTGTCCATTATTTTTGCATTCTAAACAATTCTTACTGAATTGAGCTAAAACCTGGACGCTATTGAATAAGTGAGCACCATTTAGTACGTAACCCCATCACTCAAATCAAAGTAGACCGCATGTTATACATTTTACACAGTCCAGATAATTTATGAAGCTTACAGTGACTAAACCCATAAATTAGATTTCTTGGCAAAGAGGAATTTCTTTGCAGGCCAGTTATTCCGGCTAGTTAAGACTTCTTCCCACAGTAATGAGGTGCCTTAATAAGGGCGTAATTTTCAATAACTTGGTGTCCTTACCGGAGCCGGTTCCGCGTGACTCCATTAACATGCTTATCTTTATTTGCAGAAGCGCAAGTGACCAAATGCACGAAAACTTTCTGTTAAACATCAGTAGGAGTTACGAAGCTTTCATATATTTCTGAACTCAGGTTCTCGGTTCCAGATGACTAATTCGCTCGGTGGTACAAATGCCTTATGAATACGGGTATTTATCTAGCAGCGCAGTTCTCTTAAGTTGAAGGGAGCCAAATTGGAAGAGACGATGTGGTCCGAAGGCCGTTTGAACACCAGCTGGTCGTGAATAATGCACACCTAGGTACTTATAAAGCAGCTTATTAGGAAGGCGATGAGCGAAGGAGTAAATTGGGCAGCTGACTGGTTTTTATTCAATCTCGCATAAATCCAGCAAGTGTTAGGGCATCATTTATTTGTGTATTGAAGTACTCCATTTAAGCACGCGTTAATTCAAGTGAACGCGAGCTTTAGTTCAATGACTGGTCACGCGTCAAGCCTTCTGTCTGTGAATGTTCTGAAATGCGTCCTGCGTGAGTTAGATGACAGCAGGACGTAGTGAGGATTGGAATGACCCCAGCATCGAAATGTGCACCCCCTGTGCTGATGTGAGGCACAAAGCCAACTTTGGTGGGTGGACGATGTGACCAAAATAACCCATGGTTGAATGTGCAAAAATGAACCCTACTCAAAATGCTATTGTCTCTCGCGTTTGATATGGCTATGTGGTTTGAATGAGTGGTTAGAAAAGAAGATGCGGGTCAGAGACGGGGATTATTGGCCTTCCACAAAGAAGGTGCTTGAAGCAATTTCGTGTTCGAAAGTTGCTAATGCACTTGCAGACATTGCCTGGCACATTACTGTTAGGCATAAAGTAACCAAGCTAATACGAAATTCCACAAATGCGAGATGACAACGATGTTGGTGATTGAATTCGTGTGTACATGAAGACCAGTAGTGGCCTTTCAGTCGGTGGCCGTAATCGCTTTGGGATTTGGTTAGTCTCTTGTTGCAACAACTGGAACCTGTGGTCGAGGGATAACGCCAACAAAAAAAGCAAGATTTGGGATTATTACGATCACACCAAGACATCCGAGTCTTGTGTTTGCTGTGGATTGAGAGTAGTCCTGTAAGGACAACCGGGATTTCGGTAGCAGGATGCTGCCCACTTGTCTCCGATTAGCAGGGTGTTGGGACAGATAGTGACTTCCCTAGCATCATATTGCGATCAGTCATGTGGTTGTGTCCCGTTTAGAATCACCCTCTCCAGTATCATCACGAGCCTGATCAACACCGATTTGCTTATTCGCTTCATTGGCGAGCTCTTGCTCAACATCAGCGGTGACAAGGACAAGTCGATTGTGCGATTGATTCACAAGCTCTTGCAACTCGACGTCTCCTCATGCAGTGACGAGCTTTGTAAATCGTCAACAACGCTCTGCATGCAAGGTTGGTCAGATTTCCCAGTATTTCATCGTTAATGCTGCAGCCACATGTCATTGTTTGGTTGTTCGTAGATTTCCTTGCAATTGTACCACTAAGCTCCTGTGTGCGACTTTTGAATTGCCTATCAGCCAGTTATACGGCATTCTTCGAATTCGATCAGTGCAATGAGCTCAAGAAACTCATCCAGCAGTTGCTTAAGTTGCAGTCGCCTGCTAATTTGTATCAGCATGTGAGTTGATTCAGATGCGGGAGTATTTGCTGTGTCACTCTGTCTATAGCGTCCTGTATTTCCTCTCTTCAAGTCCCACCTGGCTGCGACGTTGCTCCAAATGATTCTACTTCAGACCATCCAAAACGGCTTAGCTGCAAATTATTGCGCTCAGCTGTGCGAGTCAGTCAAGGCAACATTCAGTGACTTCGATGCGAATCTATCGAAGCTGAAGGTTGCCAATTTTAGACGCTTTCCTCTGCAAATCCAAGCCTCCAACACAGAAGGCGAGTTCGTCTCCCCGTTGCCTTGGTTGAAATCTTTTGTTCCTGACGCGAGTAGCAACCACAAGGAGGAGCAGTTTGCTCTTCTATTGGCCGGACTGTCCACTCACTTGACACAGTTGTATCTTTACTTGTTGCATATTGAAAAGAATGAACTTGCTACGGTGAGTGCCTATGCATTCTGTTGACAGCTAACACGGCAACAAAATTTACACGATTGTTTTAACTCAGGCAGTTGGTTCTCCTGTGAAGAGATGCAAATCATTGCCATTGAACAGACTGCCTTCAGACGTAATTTTGATGGAGCCTGATGTTGAGGCAAGTTGAAGTGAATTTCAAAAGAGGTGCTAGCGTTCGTAGGCAATTAATTACAAGCGGATTATTTTTCAGAAAAGGAAATCATCGGAGTTGAACCCAACAAGAAAATCTCGTATCCACCAACTGCTAAGCGGCCCTCAGCGACTCACAATTGACGCATCAACCACAACAGTGTTCTGCGAGACAAAGCCGACCGAAGGAGATGAGGGGCTGGCGAAAGATAGGGCTGTTCGAATCGCGTCACTGGCAGATACACTTGCCACACTGCCCGATGGGTTCTTCGCGTTGTCATCTGCTCCCAACTCGCCATCGTCGTCCTTCTCTGCTCTTGAAAGTGTTTTCACATGCACTGCAGCACGTCTAATTGCTGTCGCCGAGCATGCTCCACTGCGAAAAGCTTTGGCTACTTGGTTTCTTCGTCTAGTGCAGAGCCGAACATCGTCTGTGGAATTGTGATAATGTATTTCTGTCTTAGAATCACTTATTTTGAATGTTGTTGGTTTTTTGAACTTGTCTATAATCATCAAATTTTAAATGTGCTTTCTTTTTTCTGTCCGGGGTATGCACGATCGTGAGCTTGGACAACAACAAGAAGCAATGAAGCTGTGCCTCACTAAATTCGCTGCAGGTGGTCTTTTTGCCATTCAGCTCATAGTACAATCAACTTCTCTAGAAGTTCTGTCCTTTGCGCAGTCAAAATTACTCGAAGTAAAGCCATTAAAAATTGGCTTTTTGCCACTCTGGTCAATATACGAACCCTGGTTTCGCATAACGAATGGCAATCAGCTGAAAACGCCTAAAACGAAGTGCCGTGTGATAAGTCGTCAGTCGAGCATAGCCTGGTGAAGTTAAACAATAGGCGGATTAAGGAATGCAATTGCGATCCCAAATTACACCAAGCACTTTCTAGACTATCGCATTCTGCGGCAGATTGTAAAACGACAGCTCGACACGTCCGACAGACTTGCTACATTTCCGAGGACAGGTGGTAGGGGATACAGAAGAACAATTAAATCTTCAATGCAAATGCTGATCTTAATGTTACAAAGGGAATTTTTAAAAGAGGTTTGGTCAAAACTTTGTGATAGCCGATTCAAATGTGTTGAGATTGCTAGATGGACTGTCCATATTGGCCGACGGAATCCCATTTCATGTCTTTTATCAAGGTAGAATTGATTTATAATACGACGAGATATTAAGCTCTGCCTCAGTGAGTCCGTTGCAAGTAAATACCTGCTTTTAGGTGTGGAAGTGTGAAGTAGTTTTGGTCGAGTTTGATCCCATGGCTATAGTTATTCAAAAAACAAGTGTATTTCGCTCCACATAATCAACAGCCAGTTACTTAGAAAAATTTATTAATGACTGTATTTAATTTTGGCTCCTTAACTCACCATTATCTGGATATTTAATAGTCATAAAACGATGGCATGGTACTGTCCATGTCTTCTTGTGGCTGCTGCCAATGTGTTGGCATTAGTTTGCGTAAATGGGTCTAGGTTTTGCTAGCAGCTACATACAAATGCCCAAATACCCAGTAAGAATAGCTGTTGTCTTACGCCATCTATGGAGATCTGGCAGTATTCAACTTACAGTAAACAGTTATAGGGTGTCAGGGTACGAACTCTGTGCGTTGCAACACTAAGGAAAATGAAGATATTAGAAAAACAAGGTTACCCTAAAAACAAATTTCTTGAGTAATATTTTTATCAAACGAAATAAATATCAATTCATTTGCATGATGCGCACGTTTACTAGTACATAAAATTAAAAATACTTCAGCCAGTTTAGCTAAAAAATTTTAAAATCATGCAAATTAATTAACCAGAAGTAAATCGCCTTGCGCAAGCATATTGTTCCTAATGCGAAATACCATATTGCTGAAACTTTGCAGGCTTTTTGCATATTAGGATATTACTCGGCAAATTTATTCGATTTCTAAATTACAATTTACCAAGTGATTGCCTTAACAGTCGTTAGAGTGTGTTCACTACATGCAGATACGATAAATTTACTTGACTTCTCCTCCAAAAGTAATCCAAAGTAAACACAACGTCATTAATGAAAAAAATTCAGTTTCTCTTTAGAGCACATTCGCTAAGTGATATAAAACCAGAATGTGCTGCACCAAAGATACAAAGCAAAACAATGAAGATGGGTAGCTGGTAAAAACAACGCATTTCGACTCATGACCATTTCGGGTAAAACCCATGCATTTAGAAACTTCCCTGTGGATAACCTCGGACTCGAATGGAGTGTGTGAGATTTCAATGCAACAAACATTTTCTGCTCCACCTGCTGTCTTTGCTTCAAGCGCCTCATTATCAGACGATTCATCACTGTCATCTTTAAATCTGTCGTCCATTTCTCCTCCTCCTCCTACACCTCCTCCTTCAATACTCTTCCCCCGTGGTATCAGGCGTCAACTAATAAGAAACAGACAGAATTGGATATTTTCTTGGGAATTAACACGATATTGGCACCCATTTTGAAAGCACAAAATAATAACTCAAACAAACATGAATACCCGTCTGAATTTGATCTCTCAACCCCTAATCCAACCTTTTGCGTGAGTACAAAAATGAATTGAAACGTGTAACAATTGCTAATTATTCCAAAAAAAATTAACAAAAATCAGAATTTGCACAAGAAGTGAGCTGTAACAATACGAACAATTATATTTACAATATCTTCGATGATATTTTCTTTTGGTTTGTTTTGCACTTTAAATTCGTGGTTAAAGTCATGGGAAATGCCACTTAACTTGCTTCATTGTGAGCTCTTTTTCCAAGCTGTCGGTTTATGTTTTTTTACTTGCCGGATTTTTTAAGCTTGGCTCTTCGGCCGTACTTACAGCGAATTTTGTTTGTTAACTTGATTATTATTCTGTGGCTTGAGTTTTGTGGCTCAATTTTAAGTTGTGGTTGCACATAAAGTGAATTTTAGGTCCATGGAACCTCGCTCTGTCATTGTATTGTCTATTTTCTGCCACAAAATTGCCTGTTTGCTTCGTTTTTCGCTTCTGTATGCCCACGTCTAACATAACATGTGTTCTTAAACATTGAACTTCTAAGATAGCCATTAACCTTGTGAAAGAATGATACATTAAAATATTTTTACGTATTCTGGTATATTCTTAAATTGATTCCACAGGATTTCTCGCTTATTTTATTATCATTGAATTTTAAGGCGTTAATCGACCTCCGGCTCTTCTATTGTTTTTTTTTTCAAATTATAAATCCTTGTTGTTACAAATAGGCCCTAATCTAAGGTATTAATTTAACTCTGTCTGTGTTGTGTTCATGTGCTTGTTCTGGTGTTTCTCCGTACTTCAATTACTGGCAGAGGTCCCTAGAGTGCATATTTACTTTATTCGCTGCACGTAACTAGTTTGTGATATTAGCACCGGAACTTCCATTACGTGCTGCCATGCATATTTTGATGAGGTAGCGTATTTCGACTGTTTCTGATTGTTATTCGAGTAGAATGACCTCCTTGGGATCCGTGCGAATAACGCGTCGTAATTTTATTTTGTTGAATTCTTTATACCCCGTAGTCATATAAGCCCGTCGTTTTGATGAGGCATTTAGTATGTAACTTGGCGGCATTAAGGAGATTTGTATACTTAAAATGTTGATTTTAAAAACATAAAACACCGCTATTTTAATTCAACTAGTAATTTAGTTTTGCTGAAAACACCAAAACAAATCTATTTGTAAAGGGGCTTAAATTCTAATAAGTACGTGTCTAATAGGGATCGATTTCTTTAAGTTTGGTACATTTTAGATGTATTAGGGTATGCTTATTTCGGTCTGATCGTTTGCCATTCGGTGTGGTATTCTAGATATTAATGTCTCTATTCTACATAACGTATTACTTAATAATGTTTTTGTCGTAATGTCCTTTGCCATTTTCAAGCTTTTTGCCTTATGAGTTTCTACCGGAACGAATTGCGAGCAAACAATTTCGTATCTGAAAAGTAAGTTTATTCTTATACGAATATTTTTGAGTTTTGATTATACAATTTATGTTTTTTTTAGGTCCATTACGGAGGATAGCCGTTTCGGTGCGTAGCTTGTTTTTATATGCATGCTTTTTTGATCGTGATATGTGTTTGATAGCGAAAAGTAAATACGGAGGTGTACACCTGGTGTTCGTGAATGCTCTTAGTTGTTGTCTCCTGTCTTTGGTTGTGGGCTTCACCACCTTTGACATCTTGTTAACAGCAGTCTCAGATTTCTGTAATTAAACCACGGTGGCATTTTGCGGGTAACTAAATTTTTTTCCATTGAATCTTCGTAAACATTAAATTTGTACGTGAGCAATTTTCACAAGTGGACCAAAATTTCCTATGTAATTGATCGGAATTTATTTCAGTCTTTTGCATTCCTTTCTATTATGTTTATTACACAATTAGACTTTAATTTGGCAGTCATTTTTGCCGCATCCACATAAGTACAGTGTGCGGACAGTGTTTCTATTTATTTATGTGCATGTTATTTTGTTCGACCAGCTTTTTTTAAATAACATTAACATTCAAGTAACCGATTTTTTGACATCCAAAGCCTCATGTATACTTTTGCTTTCCTAATATGTACATCTTTTTCTGAAGTGTGTGTCGACGGGTTTCGGTGCTCTCACCCGTAAAATTAAACCCAAGTTTCAGTGTTCGAAATTTCCTGGTAACGAAGTTTCGTGAAAGTCTCTCGTTTTTATGCCTACATCACCAAGGCTCTGTATCACGAAAAACGCAGTTTTGAGTAGATCTGTTGCGATCAAATTCTTTTTCGAATTGTTTTAGGCATGAACTCCCAAATCATTGACTTTTCTTGGGATTTCATTTTAATGTTATAGCATTATTATTGTGAACTAACAAACAGGGTGGCAGTATCACTTGTCAGTATATTGGAATAATTGCCTGTTTGCTTATACCTCGACTAATATATTAGTTTGGAATTTAAAATACAGCTTGTCCAATGCCTAAGGAGCACAATCCTGGCAACTGATGACTTTTTCAATAGGTGAATTGGTTCAATTGATTTCAACTCATTCGCCTAGTGCATGGAGGTAAATCCCTCGAGGGGATTGCAGTAACTGTCTTGCTTAATCTGTTAGGTAACTTTGGAATTTCGGCTTATGAAAGACTTAGCGATTCATCGCCATTAGACAACAATCATTTCACGGGTACTTGAAAGGTTTATAAACTCATTAATAAACCCCAAGTTTTTTACATATTGATTCAGCTTTATAAAAGTATGATTTAATATAAAGCTTGCTGTGGATTAAATAAGGGACATGTTCGGGTGTGTAAGTGACATCCAGGCTCACAATCTATGTGGATCGATGAAGTAATTTGACCTAGAAGGTGCTTAGTGTTGTGTGGGCCTTTACTAATTGGGCAAGCCTCATGCTTTCGCTACGCATAATCTCTGTTTGTCTACGTTTTTTGTAATGTTCTC